ACACCTTCAATCCCAGTACTTGGGAAGCAGAGGTAAATGGATCTTGGTGAGTTATAGGACAGCCAGGGCTGCACAGAGAGATCTTGTCTCAAAAACAAACAATAAATACAGTGAAGCCTTTGTGTTAGGTGACAGGCACAGTTTAAACACAAACACACACAACAGACAAATTTCTGGCAGACCAGAAACCAGACTATGCACAGTTGGAAAGTACAGGGAGAGAAATGGAGAATTCAAACTAGGCTCAATCTTGGTCAAATTAATCCAAGAGGAAGTTGCTGTGTTTTCTTTCCTTAACGAATTAATCCACTTGGTGGGGCACTAGGGATTCATAGCAGTACCCAGGGTAAAGATAAATAAAAAGAAAGGTGAAGCGGGTACCTTTCCACAGGCCCTGCCAAGGTATGCCACTAAGCAAACACACTATGCAACAGAGTTAGTGCAGTAAGTTTACTGGGGGAGGGGAGAGGGAAAGGCTGTGTTGGAGTGGGGACGTGAGAGAGGTGGGCAGGAACAGGGATGAGGAGCAAGAGACAAGCGAGGCAAGACAGGAAAAAACAGGCAAGAGAGGAACAAAAGGGGTAAGAGAAAAGAAGAGACAAAGAGAGACAAGAGAACGAGCAAGCTGTGCTCCGGTGGGCACATGTCGCATAACTTGATGGGCGGAAAGCACCTGGCAACAGGTGATGATGTAACTGCTTTGGCGGAAGAGGCAGGCTGCGGCTGCGGCGGAAACCAACACCCAGGGCCTAAACGTTCAAGTTTGAGACACCCCTATTCCTACAGTAGCCAACATTGCTCCTACCTTCAAAGTCTGAAGCCCCTCCCAACCCAGACGTTACTGGGTCTGTTGCTTGTCAGGTCCCAAAGAAACTCAGACACAGCCTCATGGCTCCTGGCAGCACTACCCACCCTGGCCACTATGCTAAACCTCCAGGGGCTGGGTTTCCCTTCTCCCAGCTTCTCATCCCCACAGAAATCTGCTATTTCCGCCATGCCATGCATTCTCTTGGTCTTCCGCTCTTGGCCTTCCGCTCTTGGCTCCCAGCTCCCTTTCTTGCCCATCTCCCAGTGTCTCACACTCCCTCCACCCCCACGTCCTCTCTTGGCCCATTTCAGTCTGGACTCCTCCAGATGCCTCTGGTTGTTTTCTCCCTCACATCTACAATAAAATCCTTCCCAACCATACTTTGAGGTGGTCCTGTCCTCATTTTCCCTGCTACTTAGATTGAGCCTCTATTGTCTAAACAGGTACAGAGAGTAAGAAGTCCATGCCTAGGTGGCCACAAGGTGGCTGCACCTTCCCTCTGAGGGATCCAAAGGCCGGGACTGCTGGGCCCTTACTGGACCCATGTGACTGGATCCGTTCCCAGCTTGCTCACATTTCCAGCCGTGCCAACTGTCTTCTAAGTGGGTAGAGTGCTATCTATGTATATGGCCCGCGATGGGAAGACCTTCAACAGAGACTCCCATGTCTGTTCCACATCCCATCCCTGAGCCCCTTTACAGAGACTTCAAAGTCACTGAGCTTTATTTGAAAGTAGAAACCCCCATTGCCCCAAGGAGGGGTGGGGGAAGAAGACTGACAACAGGGCTCAGGTGTTCCTGTCCCCTCCCCACCGCCACTGCAGAAAGAATAGGGCTCAGGAGAGTCGTGGCAGCGCTTCCAAGGCTGAGGCAGGAGGACAGGTTCAAGGCCAGCCTGTGCTACGCGATGAGACCCTGTCTCCAAGCAACCATTAATTTAAAATATACATACATATATATATATATATATATATATATATATATATATATATATATATAGAGAGAGAGAGAGAGAGAGAGAGAGAGAGAAGATCCGCAGGTGTACTGACTTGTACTAAAGCTCTTCCCTTGGGTTCTCCAGTGAGCAGGAACCCTGAGGGCCACCACACAGCAATGCCTCCAGGGCCTCATGGCCTTGGCGGTAGGCTTCGTAGATCTGATCTTCTCCAAACTCTCCCAGGTACTGGAAACACGTCGTGGACAGCCTAAGAGAGCAATAGGTACCTTGAACCCTAACCTACCCACAGGGATGTTGGGGGGCAAACCAGGACTTCAGGGGCTCCTTCCCCACCCTGTAATTACCTATTGGGCCAGGGACCCCCAGTAATCATTACGCTGATGCTTGGCTCTGTCCCCTTGCTAAGTCCTGGGCCCATGAGGCGTTTCATCCGGTTCACTTCTTGAACTCCATAGCTGGCGGCAGTAGGAAGCAAGGGATAGAGGATCAATGGGGGGCCTGGCCAAGGAGGGACTTGCTTCTATCCTAAGTACACTGAGCTTTTGCTGGGTTCAGATGGGGTTAAATTCAAGGCCCAGGATCTCACAGTGACTTTTCTGTGGCCATCTGCTCCCCTACTTGCTCCCAAGAGCAGCTCTTCCCAGATTTCAGCTAGGCCATCCTCCTCCCTCAGGCCAGAGCCTTTATGCCTTCATGGACCCGGCATGTGGTGTCAATGGGAGGCCGGAGGTCTGCACCCACCAGCCCTTTCCCTTAAGAAAGTGGCAGGGCCTGGATTGGCAACTCACGACTGCCAGTTCTGAGAGCAGGTCCGGTCCAGGACATCTGTGTATACCGACTCGCTCAGTTCCTGCAATCCACTGGAGTCTGGACCACGAGATTTAGCTTCTGCTTTTGCCAGATGTTGCCCCATCTGGAAGGAGGAGGTGCTGAGAGCTAGGATTTTGGGACGGCTGTCAGTTGTGGGAAGGAGGAAAGGACAGACACCCAAGTCTCTGGGGAGACTGAGGTGGCCAAGGCGCTGCTGAGCCGGAAGCACCTGTGAGGCAAGCTGCAGCACTCCTCCCTCCCATCCCCCTGGTCCCCTCCCCCACCTTGGCCCAGGCCCCAAAGCTAGGCTGGGCCACTTCAGGCGCAGGACCTACTTTCCTGGGGGCAGGGGAGGAAATGCTGTGTGAAAGACCAGGCCACTCTTTCAGCGCATGCTTGCCCAGTAGCATGTGCTATTTTTAAACCACAAGAACAAAGAAAGCCAGTAATAAAGATAACAATAATAATAAACAAATAGAATAACTAGAGTCCAGTCTTTAATAACACATGTATTCATCTGCCCTGCGTACATACAGAAACATGGTCACATAGGCTTGCTTGAGGGGGCAAGTATGGTGGGTTCACATAGATACACATGTACCCAACATGCATGAAGTAAAAGCACCTCGCGGGCCTGGGGAGGGTGTTGAGACGAAAAAGACTACAGAGAAGGAATCTAAAAGGATGAAGGTTTCCCTGGGGTGACAAGATGCAGGCACCTTAGATTGGACGCTCTTAGGTAACCAGGCAAGGGTGTAAACTGAGGCACGGCAATTCAAGTGTAGGAGGCTGGTAATGTCATGGAGAGAGGGGCTGAGGGCTGAGAATTAAAGGCCAATGATGGAGTTTACGGTAGATGGAGTGGTCTGAGCCAGGGCTTTTGGGGGACGGGCAGAACTTACTTGGTAGGCCACAGCCCGGCAGGCATCACAGCGCAGGTGAACAGGCATATAAGATGCATACTTCTCCTCGTCATCCAACACTGGAGCGGTAGCTGAGAGTGGAGGTCTGTCTCCAAGGCTCCCCAGGGTGGCCTTGCACCCTAACAGTAGCAGCAATGGCAGGGCCAGCCTCATGGCCTCTGAAGTTACTTCATGGAGCGTGCACTGCGTTGGGGTGCAGCTGTGCATTCGAGTTATTTGTGGTTCAGGCCAATAGGGAACTGACACCTCACTGTCCTCTTCCCTTCCCCGGGGCCCTGGAGGTGACACGTATGCAGTTTCCACAGGGGGACCCTGGCTCCCGCTGACTGAGCTCCATCTCACAGATAGGGGATGAAGATGCAAAGAGAGGTTCTGAGGCTGACCCCAGGGGGAGGGGAGGGGAGGTGGCGATGGATCTCACATACTGTGACCTGAGTGGTAGGGACTGTGCTGAACAACCTGTGGGGTGAGGCGGTCGGTTACAGTCATCTTTATTCTACTGTGAGGATGTGAAAGCTCAGAGAGAAGAGACAAATCCTCCTACCAGAGGAGCCATGATGAGAGTAGTCCCCAGTGTCTAGGTCACTCAGCCACCAGGAGGAATGTGGCCATGGTTGTGGTTGCCAGCCTAGAGTTCTCCTTATAGTGAGGCAAATTTATTGCATCTTGGCAACCACAGTATGTGAGAGCATACATGATCTCTCTCTGACCGTAGAGTCCCCTTCACCCAGGCCAGAGCTAGGCATGGCACGGCTTTGTGGGGGTGAAAAGGGAGCAAGCTAGCTGGGTGTAGTGATGCACACCTTTAGTCTCAGTTAGTTCCTGCACTCGGGAGGCAGAGGCAGGTGGATCTCTGTGAGTTTGAGGCCAGCCTGGTCTACAGAGTGAGTTCCAGGACTGCCAGGGCTGTTATACAGATAAACCTTGTCTGTCCGGGTGGGAGGCGGTAAGAGAAGCGACAAGATGACCAAAGTTCAATGGTTAAGAACAAATGTGTCTGTTGCTGAGGACCTGGACTCAGCTCCTATCGCTCACATTGTGGTTCACAACCATCCACAACTCCAGTTCCGGGGGGTTCAATACCCTCTGGTCTTCATGGGCATGCATGTGGTATATATACATACATGCAGGTAAACACTCATAAAATAAAAATACAGATTTTTTTTTCTCAGGGAAGAACACAAACGCAGTCCCCCACTACCACAAATTATGCAGTCGAGTTTCCCACATTTGGGGAAATTGCAGGGGTTAGCACATCCGGAGTGCAATGGATAAGCCTCGCCCTGGGAAAACCATCTTCGTGATCATGGCATTTCCCCTGTAGGTAAGTATTAAAATACAGAATTTTAAGTGTTATTTACATGGCTATTTTGAGACAGCCCTGGCTGTCCTGGAACTTGCTCTGTAAACCAGGCTGGTCCTAAACTCAAAAAAATCCACTTGCTTCTGTCTCCCAAGTGCTGGAATTTAAGGTGGGTACCACCACTCCAGGGAAAAGTGGGTTGTTTGTTTGTTTGTTTTATTTTGTTTTAAGGATGACAGCAGGAAATAAGGCTCATACACTAATTGTTATCACAGTCACCATGGCTTTCCATGGCCAGCCATTTATTGCACACCAGGACAAGACGATGCACTCTGGGGATGGCCTGGTCCCTCTATGCCATGGGGGTCAGAATCTTGGGGAGAGATGTTCAGGCTGCTCTGATTTAGTGTTTTAGCCGGTTTCCAGTCTAGGGCAAGGCTGGTAGGGGATCTGAGGGATCTCAATTGCATAGGCCTGGAACCAGAAAGCCATCAATTGCCAGCCCTAATCCTGCTTCTAGCGGGAACTGTCCCTCTCCAAACACCCCTCCAGCAAGGTCTACAGAGATCGCCTCCCACCTCACAGAGACATACTCCATCACTCAGTTTACCCCAGTCTCAGGGCAGGTGGAACACAAGTCTGGGGCTTCCCTGGGCTGTGAGCAGTCTGAAGGGCCAGTCCCTGTGTGGGCACTGTTGGGCACTGTTGCCTCTGCATGGACATCCTTCCTCTTGCCAGTTTTTTCTTTCTTTCTTTCTTTCTTTCTTTCTTTCTTTCTTTCTTTCTTTCTCTCTTTCTTTCTTTCTTTAATGGTCTTTTGAAACAGGGTTTCTCTGTGTGTAGCCCTGACTGTTCTGGAACTCACTTTGTAGACTAGGCTGGCCTGGAGCTCACAGAGATTTATCTGCCTGCCTCTGCCTCCCAGGTTCTGGGCTAAAGGCATGCACCACCACACCTGGGTTTCTCTTGCTAGCTCTGCCCTCCCTTCTAGGCACCAAGAGCATGCCCCTATGCTAAACCCCAGCCTTCCCCCTCTTGTCATCTTGGAGATTCAAGTCACTTGCTTTCTGCCTGGGTGCGCACGGCTCACAGAAGATAGACACTGGGGCCTGATGAGTTAGGAGTTAGGCTCCATGCTGTGAACTGTTAGTGGTCATCCCTCAGTTGCCTTTCCATTTTTGGTTAAACAACCACAACTCCCAAAACTAATTTATTTTTCTAGATTCTTGTCCTCCCTGTCCTGTCAATCTTCAGGAATAGCTGGCCAAGAGAAGTATTTACTGACCACTTGACATTGTTTAATTCACCACTTCTACCTAGTCACCCCTAGCAACCATCAGAAAGCCCAAAGAACAACTTCACTCCCCTTCCTCGTTTCCTAGCGCCTTCTGCAGGCCTTTCTGCCAATGAGTTGCTTGTCCCTTCGGCTGTTTTTACAGGGACCACAGCGATCCTGGGACTTCCAGTTCCAAGCTGATCCTCCACGTCTCCTTATACAACATCCATGTTCCACCTCACATACTATTCCCACAGCTGCCATTCTCAGCCCCGAGCGGGCCCAGGACCACATTGCATCCTTCCAGGACAAGGCTCAAATCCAGATTTGATGGCTATCATCCATCCCCTCCATCTCTGCAGCACCCGCTGACCTGTCCACTCGACTGGGGCCCAGTGTTAGGTAGAGAACAACAGTTCATCATCACCACAGGCAGCCCTGGCCCTGCTACTTCCACACCTGCTATTCTGGGAAACCCCAACATCTCTTAGTGGTCTCACTTTGATATACTTGCTCGCCTGCATACACATATACACCACACCCTGGGAAGGTTTGGGAAAGGGATGCAGATTTTTGTTGCAGGGGAGGAGGGAAGGGCGGGGCGGGGAGGGGGGACAGGACATAGGCAGCCAGGCATTTGCTAATGATGATCCAGCGCCGTCAGCCCAGGTAGCAGATACATTCTTTTATGGTCACTTCTGGTCTGGGGACTGGCTGGAACTAGCCAAAGAGTTGGTGGGAGGAAAAATTAAGTGACTAGGAACCAGAACTCCCAAAGCCTTCTAGGGAACACAACTCCAAAGGGACCGGGACCTGAGGCTTCACAAAGGAAACACGGTACCCTTGCTGGACTGGATGGGACCGGAACTGGAGGGCGGGGCACAGAAGAGCATAGGTGGAGCCGGACTGGGGGTCCCGCTCAAGGGCATGTAGTACATCCCCTCCAGGGGCCCGGCTTCAGGGGTCCAGGGTAGCTGGAGACTGCCAAGGGCCTGAAGATTGGGGGACGGCGGCGACAGTGACGAACCAGGGACAGGGCCATAGGCAGGCGGGTATAGGCCTGGCCCTATGGCCAGGGGGGCATAGGCTTGTCGTGGCGGCCGGGAAAGAGAGGGCGAGGGCGGCAGCAGCACTTCCACGTACTGCCCGCTCTCGGGGTCGAAGAGTAGCCGTAGCCTCGGCTGCCGCGGAGCCTCCACAAAGTAATAGCGACCGCTCTCCGGGTCTACGAGGACCTTTCCTGGTGGCGCGGCTCCTGGAAGCCTCCGCGCCCCCTGGGTGGATGCAGGAGGGAGTCGATCCGTGGGAGGTGCAGAGGCAGCTCGCGGGAGGGGTGCAGCGGTCCTGGTCGCTGTCGCCTGAGGTTCCGGCGGGAGGGGCGCCTGGACCGCCGTTGAAGGAGCCACAAGTGTTGTCTTCAATTCGGGTGCTGTCCCGAGACTCGAGTTGGAACATGCCTGCGGAGAGCCGGGGCGAGGAGGTTGGGTCCCTGCTGATCCTAAAGGGGACCACTCGGTTGAGGTGTGAGCGCCTCTTAAGGGACTGGTTCGACCCTCGTGGTCTGGGACCAGGCGCTGGGCCTCAGCATCCAGGCTTTCTATCCCAGGACCGCATCCTTGAACATCTGGGGTTTTCTCCCGCCGGCGGCTCAAGACTAGAGCGCCAGGCAAGCGGATCTCACTGCGAGCGAAAGGCTTCGCGGTGTTGTTTTCTGCCCTCCGCCTCGGGACCTGGTTGGAGTGGGAGACATCCTTAGGAGTCGCATGGAGTGAAGGCTCTGGAGATTCGTAGGGATGCGGTACTACCGGCAGAAAGTCCTTGAGAAAAATGGAAGTGTAATGAGCCGGGGCCGGTGACTCCAGCGCCGGGAGCTCCTGCGCTTTTGATGCATCGCCCTCCCCGCGGGTGTCAGCAGAAGGCGCGGGAAGCCCGGAACTTGGGGTTCCCGCAGGAAAGCTTGGCGCGTAAGAGGTCTTAACCATCTTGCGCACGTCTCGCGGCCGCGGAATGGTCACGCGCGGACGTCCAGAAGCTGCTTCTCCCGAGGCCAAGGTTTCTGGGCACACATCGTCGTCTAGGGTGCTTGTGAGATGACTTCCGGGAGGTTCCGGTGTATCGACAACTGGAGACGGCTGGCTGCCTTTGAAGGCAATATCCGCATTTTCCAAGGTAAGCAGACACTGCGCCTCTGTGAGTTCTGGAGTCCCGGGGGCTGATGGTGTAGGCGGCTCCAACTCCTGAGTTAGGCCATTCATAGCTTCCTGACGCAACGCCGTCGATGAGCCCTGCACAATAGGACCCCATGTCTCTCGGGGAGATGGGTTACTAGTTTCAATAGGATGATCAGGTGACTCCTGTGGGAGCAGGGCTGGCAAGGACCGGTCCCTACTCAGCCCTATTGCATCTCCACCTATCGAATGTGGAACTTTCCACAGAGAAGGAGTTTCGGGACCTGGGTTCCCAACTCTAGCGACACCCTGAGTCCATTGGGAAAGAGGTGGAGGGGAAGGGCTCCTTCTGATGACTTCCTCTACGGCCGCTTTCCGATTTTCCCACTCCGAAGATGCTTCAGGGAAGGACGGGCTACTCATTCTCCAGACAGTTCTATGAGGTCGTGAGAGGTTCTGGGGGGACGGGCACCGAGGACCCCTCACGGCCCCGTTTGGAGCTTGCTGCGGAGGAGATGGGCTCCTTGGTCTCACAACTCTACTGGGAGCCACTCGGGAACTTCTAGAATGGAAGGGAGGACTTCGTGTTCTCGGTACGATTCCATCGGGAGTCTCACGAGGGAACTGAGTCTTGGATTCCTGTTCGTGAGCCTGTTGAATTTTCTCCTCTGACTGCAGAAAAATGCTGGAACTAACGGGACCCAGCGGCTCGGTCCCAGGCGCCGGCTTGTCCCGCCGAATTGCTCGCTCTCGGAGGCTGGGCCAAGGCCGCGGGGCTCTGGTGTGGACAGAACTATCGTGTGCGCGGGGTGGCCGAGACTTGACCTCTTCCGGGACCACACGGGTGCTGCGTGCCGTTTCCCGAGGATTCGTTGTGGGTTCTGCTTTCCCCGTGGATCTAAAAGTGACATTGCTGGGGGCCGGGACCTCAGAGCCCAGTTTTCTGGCCAGCGCCGTCTGCACGATGCCCGCGGCGGCCTGCAAGCGGCTCAGAGACTCGTCCAGGGAGCCGGTGCGCAGGAGCAGTCGGGGACGCGGCGCGCGACTGTCCTGCGAGGGACTCCGAGGCCGCGGACGCAGCTCGATCTGACGCTTCGGCACCGTGCGGGGTCTAACCGGCGCGCGCTCCTCCAGTGCCACCTCCACACACTCGTACTGGCCTGAGACGGCCGGACTCGGCCCGCGGGGCGGCAGCTCCAGGTAGGTGGACCAGCGAGAGCCCCCGTCGGGGGTCTGCGCCTGCGGCGACACTGACACAGGAGACGGTGACCCGGGCAGCAACGGACTGCTGAAGGCAGGCGCCATGAACTGTTGTTCCTCCCGATCCTCTGCGTCGGAGCGACTGAACAGAGCCCCGGCGCCGAAGATGACTTCCATCTCCCCCGACGGCAGCATGCGCAGCTGGGGCCGGGGCGGCTGCGGGCCGGAGCCCGGGCCTCGCGGGAAACCCGAGCCGGAGCTGTGCTGCTGGCGGCTATTCTGGGCGCTGACGGACAGGACAGGCTGCGCGCCCGCCCCCCGCCCAGGGGCCACCCAGAGCCAAGTCCCCCGGCCTTCTGTGTCCGGCCCAACGTCCGGGGGCTCCGGAGAACCCGGAGCTGTGTGGTAGGAGCCGGACGAACCGGACGAATCCTGACGCCGGGCAGGGGCAGGCAGCTGCCTTGAGAACCCTGGAAGGGCTGGCGGGGCGAGCGCAGTCAGCATGGTGGGCAGGACACTTAGCACTACCTCCCGGGCAATGCCTCTGCAAGTGGCGCCTGCACTGTCTCCGCCCCGCCGGGATGCCATGGGGTCAAAGCGTCTTAAAGCGCCAGTGTCTACGCTGAAGCTAGCGGAGTTGTCAGCAGAGACCCAAGTCCTGGGCCCTACCCGGAGCAAACCTCTTTGCCCGAACTTTCTCCAGCACAGGTGGAACACAGGGCTGGGGCTCCAGACTTTGACAGGCAGGTGAAAAGGGAAGACAGGCCTAGTTTTGAAAAGGAGCAAACAGCTATGCCCAACTCCACCTAACACAGGTGGGAAAACTCTGGCCTTGCAGGGGACTTCTGAGACAGTCAGGGTGTGAGCTTGAAGTTCCATATCCTCAGCCCCCAACTCTTTAACATCGCAAGGAAACTCCTCCGTGGCTTCCTTAGCTACAATCCATATGCTTCCTTGACTTCTCACGTCCATACACCACCTTGGATAGGGTAAGGCAAATCAGGCAGGGGCTGGCTAGCTAAGGTGCTTAGCACCCAGAACAAAGCTGGGAGACAAACCAGCCACTGTAGGGTTCCCTCTAAGGTCCCAGGCGCACAGGACCTTATTCCAGTGCCCCACAGCATTCCTTCCTTCCTAGTAGGGAAGCAGCCACCAGCTGTCATTGTCCTATGACAATAGCACACCACTTGCCCTTAACTTAGGGCTTGAAGGTCCCGCTATGACTCAGGCCCCAGCTGGCCCTGAGGCTAGAGCACTGGCCCCTCCTTTATGCCCACCCTCACATTGAACCAGCACAGGCCAGGTTTAACCAGTCCTGTGAATCCTGAGTTCCCCAAGATCACTTAGGGGCACACTCAGTGAAGATTTCTGAGAGGATTTAACCTTTCATCCCATCAAGGCCTGTCTGAGTAACTTGAGCCGGTTGGGGCCCTTTCCCTGTCTCCCTAAGGTTGTGCAGCCTCCTCCTCCCCGTGAAAGTTTTTGGTTTTTAGTGTAAGAAGGTGCAGGGGTGGTTTGGACAGCTAGTGCATACACATGTTCTTTGTTTGTTTTGGGGGGGGGTTGTTTTTCAAGACAGAGTTTGTCCATGTAGCCTTGGCTCTTCTGGAACTTGCTCTGTAGACCAGGCTGGCCTCAAACTCAGAACTCATATAGAGATCTGCCTGCCTCTGCCTCCCAAATGCTGGAAAGTGCTGGGATTAAAGGTGTGCACCACCACAGCCCGGCTCATACACTTTTTTTTTTTAATTACCTTGGTTCTCAGATTAATTACTTGGTTTCTCAGATTTACTGTGGTTCTGGAATTCAGTCTTAAAGTCTGTAGTCAGGGCTACACCAACACACATGCACACGCACGCATGCACACACATTCCATTCTTCCCTAACCCTACAGCCAATCTCGGAGAACCACATTTACTGAAGTTCAGGGAGGGTGTGACTGGGTTAACCTGGGCTGTGTATGGAGACGACTAACCACCAAAAGCAAGCAGCAGATCCCACTCTGTTACCATGGGTGCTAACCTATCCCAAAGGAGTACAGCAGCAGCAGGGGTTGGAGACTGAGCAGTGTTTCCTCCTAAACTCAGAAGAGGCAGTACTGTGGTGGAGGTCCCCAGGATGGAGGGGAAGAGCTGGTCTCCCCAGAATAGAGAAGGTAGAAGTTTGGCATTGCATTTAGAAACCAGGAAGGAAACCAGCATTTTATTTTTCCCTGGGACACTGGCGGCTACGGGCCCGACGTGTTCCCGAGGCTTTCTTATGCTTCCGGTCCAGCACCTGGGCCATGTAGCTCTCCTGCTGCTTCTGGATCTGGAAGTCGGACATGTGATTCCTGCAACGGAGCCAGCTGGTCGTAGGCTGGACAGCCCTGGGTAGGGGCCAAGTCAGGCTCCCCACTTCCATCAGCAACCCCCAAGCCTGGCCTGGCCCCTCACCTGAAAATCCGTTTCTGCTGGCTGATAACTTGCTGCAACTCTTTAATCTCATTCTCTTTGCCATTAAGTATATCTTCTTGCTTTATAATGTGAGACTCAATTTCTGTGGGGGAGAGAGGCAGGGAGGAGGGGAGGTTCCCATCTCTCAGGCTGCTCCTGAGCGAAGGTCTTCCCTTGTGGGGCTTTTCAGAGCTTCGCTCTTGCCACTGAGGGGTGATCTTTGAACAGCTGCCAGTACCTCAGTATGAATGAGTTTGTTTTTCTGTATTGGAGACTGAACCCATGCTCTTATACATGACAGGTAAGTGCTCTACCACTGAGCTATATCCCCAACACTATTTTTTTAATTTTTAATTTTTTTTTAGTCAGGGTCTTTCTACACAGCCCCAGCCCCCAGCTGTCCTAGAATTCATTCTGTAGACCAGGCTGGCCTCGAACTCACAGAGAACGGCCTGCCTCTGCCTTCCAAGTGGGGGATTAAAGGCATGCTACCCTCTTTCTACTATTTTTCTCTTCATTATGTAGCTCTGACTGTTCTAGAACTTGCTTTGCATACCAGGCTAGCCTCAAATGCAAGACATTCACCTGCCTCAGCCTAGTATGCACGACCACACCTATCTACTTTCTACTTGGTTTTTAAGCACAGTCTCATTAGGTTGACCAGGCTATCCTTAAACTCACTCTTAAATTTTTGATCTTTCTATTCGGCCTGGGATTACAGGTGTTCACCATAAGGCCCTGACATATCAGCAAATGTATGGGGTCTTGGGAGTGGGGACAGTAAGTAAGTCAGCGACTTCATCATTGGATTACAAACCTCACCCAGGTGAGGATGGGCAAAAAAATCCTTGGAAAGAAGAAGGCAAAGTCCTGGCTCTCAGCCACTGCTCCTGGGCCTTTACACATCCTTGGTTAGACCCTTGATCTAGAAATTACAACCCTCCCCTTCCAAGTCCCCTTCCCTGCTCCCTTTCTCCTTGTGCCCATGTTTAACACACCTCATATGTCACTCATGTCCTCCTACAACTATGACACACGGTTCACAAGGACAGGGACTATTGTCTCCTTCACTGTTGTCCCTAAGACCTGAAACAGTGTTTGGCTCATAGATCTGTGTTCTGTGGAATGGACGGACTTTGGGACTGGAGACATGGAGTTTGGCCACATCCATCAACCGGACCTATAAAGGACAAGCTGGGTGCCCAGCCTTGTGCTATAGAGGGCCGCCGGTGGGAAATAATGTCTGTGACCCCATCAGACATGCGTTCAACTTCCCCAAAAGAAGAGTTAGGACTCAGGAACTAGAGGTTGGACAGATGGCTCAGTGCTTAAGAGCACAGACTCTTCCAGAGGAGCCTGAATTGGTTCCTAGCACCCATATGGTGGTTCCTAAATATGTGAATTAACTCTCTCTCTCCCTCTCTCTCTATATAAATATTATTATCTATCTAATAGAAAGAGAGAGAGGTGCCTAGGGAATCTGGCACCCTCTTCTCACCTCCACAGGCACTAGGCACACACATGGTACATGCACATACATATATGTAGACAAACACTCATACACATAAATCTAAAAAAAATCCTCAAAAATAAAACTCAGAAATTACACTGAGGGTGTTGGCACATACCAGAGGTGAGAGTATTGGGAGACCAAGGTCTCCTACCAAGTTTGAGGCCAGCCTAGGCTACCTGTCTCAACAGAAAAAAAAAAAAACCATAAATAAGTGTGCTGGGTGGTAGTGGCTCACACCTTTAGTCCCAGCACTCAGGAGGCAGAAGCAGGCGGATCTCTGTGAATTCGAGGCCAGCCTGATCAACAGAGTGAGTTCCAGAAAAATAAAAAAATAAAAATAAAGACTCAGGCATTGAAGGCTGGTGGTGTGACACATTGCCTAGCATGTATAAGGCTCCCATACCAGAAGGGGGGGGTGAGAGAAAGAGGGAGAGGGAGAGAGAGAGAGAGAGAGAGAGAGAGAGAGAGAGAGAGAGAGATAAACGACAGACAGAAGAGAAAATGACCAGAGCGCAGGATGAGGCCACACATTTCAGAGAGGCTCCTACTGAGGCAGTGTTAGCATGCTGGGTTAGCTGCTTTTTAGGCCTGTTTCCTCGCATGTCCCTCTTCCAAGGAGAGGACATGAGGACAGTCCTGGAAAAGCCTCTCTCCTAAAAAGGTATACACTTGATACACAGATTTATGTGTCTTGGGTAAAACATTCCAGGTGGCTATCAGGATCTAAGAACATTCATTTATATAACTGCCCTTCATGGAGCCCTGGAAATTTTTTATCACACGGTGGGGGAGGGGTATACCCAATGACGAAAAGACTGCACAGGACTGGGAATACCATTTACTGGTAGAGAGCAGCTTATGCTTAGCATGCTAAGCTCTGGGTTCAGCTGCCAGAACCATTAGAGAGAAAAAGAAAGGAAGAGCAATACTAGATGTGGTGGCTCCTGATGGGAACCCGGCACTCAGGAGGTGAAGGCAGGAGGATGGATTCAAAGTCATTCAATAGCAAGCTCGGGGCCAGCCTGCAGCCTGGGATGCCTGAGAACCTGTCTCAAAAAAAAAAAAAAAAAAAAAAAGAGGTGTGGGGACTGGAGAGTGGACTTGGTGGTTAAGAGTATTGGCTGCTCTTCCAGAGGACCTGGATTCCATTCCCAGACCCATGAGAGTTAACAATCTTCTGTAGCTCTAGCTAGTCCCAGGGAATATGATGCCCTCCTCTGACTTCCGAGGGCACCAGGCACATGCAGAGTGCACATGTAGAAGATACATCCATACATACAAAATATTAAGATGAATAAACCTAAAAAAAACAAAGTCATTAAAGTTTGAAAAATAGTTTTAAAAATTGGAGGCTGAGAAGGGCTTGGTCTGTAAAACACTTGTCTTGCAAGCATGAGAATCTGAGTGAGGTCCCCACAACGTGTGAAAACGCTGAAGTGGTGGCATAGGCTCATAATCCTGGTGCTGGAAAGGCAGAGGCACAAGGATCCCTGGGTTTCTCTTGGTCAGTCAGTACAGCCAAATTGGTGAGCTTCTGCTATGGAATAATCCTTCTA